GCCGAGGTGCCGGCCGGCAGCCGGGACGCGTCCAGGGAGTCGGTCCTCACGATGGCCAGCTGCATCAGCGACCGGGAAGCCATGCGGTGCCTGCAAGCCCGGGCAATGAGGTAAGATTCGGCACTGCGATTGTGGACAGCCCGCCAAGGCCTTGGCCAAGGCAGTTTACCCAGTTTAACGGGATTCCAGGCAATTCGGCTGTCTGATTATAACCGAGGAATGGGGCCGCCGCCGGGAGGGCCAGTGGCTGCCACAGGCCAGACCACATGTTGGCTGATCGGGCGGGAACCGGCGATCTCCAGGTTTCCGCTGTGGACCGGAAGGATTTGGGCGAGTGTTGATTGGAGAGAGCCGCGCAGAATGAGAGAGAGAGAGAGAGAGAGAGAGAGAGAGAGAGAGAGAGAGAGAGAGAGAGAGAGAGAGAAGAGAGAAAGAGAGAGAGAGAGGGGGGGGGTTGTTCCGCTCGGTGGTTCATGCATGCGGCCTCCGCAGGATAGGAAAAAATGTAAACATGCAAGAAAAGTGCTGATTCGAACCGGGAACCCTTTCATCACAAGCTGACTGCGTTACACGCGCGGCTACGCCGTTGATCTTGCAACAGATGTCCGTTTTCAGTTTGCTTTTAATTGATCCAGGAAGCGGAAGAAGGGGGTAAGTCGAGTTAAATCCTTGCACTCTAGCAAGGCCTAAGCCCTGCAGGTGGAAGAACAGGTGGGGAATGTCATCTAAAAATAGATGCAAGAGAATGGGATGTGTCTCACCACACTTATTTTAGGACCAAATTTTCGCTCATGTTTACTTGATAGACTGATAAGAGGTCACTGAATCAACTCGACTTAACCCCTTCTTCCGCTTCGTGGATCAATTGCAAACCGTTATTTGGCAGGTACCGCGAGCAGCTGATCGGCGACCAGCGCGCCAGCGTGGCGCGGTCCCTTGAGTCGTCGGCCAATGACAAGGAGTCCATGATGAAGGTGGTCGAGGAGGTGTTCAACACCATCGTCCCGGACAGCAAGGAAGACAAGGACATCTCAAACAGTGAGTATACGGCTTTTCCTGCAGTTTCGCCGACCGTGCGCTGTGCGAATGCACGGGACAAGCTACCGCGAACCAGTCCAGAGATACGACCCGGTTAAACGGCGCCACAGCGATGCATCCGGGCGCACCCAGAGAGAGCCAGCAGGGTTGCCCAAGGTCACCACCCTGACAGCAGCCAGCAAGCCAACGGCCCATACTCCCCGGAATAGGTCACGCGCATCTCCACCCGCCACCTAGTTCTGCTAGTTCTGGTTCCGAAGGTCCGGGCGTGATCCGTTTTGCAGCCGTTTGCCACCGCGTGCCCGTCCCCCGGCCAGACCGGTCCCGCGTGCAGTTGGCTACACTGCCAGCGCGCGGCGGCGCTCACGGCGGGAAAGTGATGCTCCCGTTGGTAGCGCCACTACCCAGTGCAGTGTCGATGGGATTACTCGACCTTGACTGACCTTGACCGCCGATCGCGCCGGCTTATGTCAGAACGGCATGACGAGTATCGCCAGTCCCTGCTTATGGCAGTCCAAGTCATTCCGCTGCCCGTGTAGTTCCGTTTGGGAAGAGAAGGGCGACCAGGCTGCAGCAGAAACCTGCAGAAACCTGCTGGCTAGCCCAGCCCAGGCCTTGGCTCGCGCACTTTCGACCGCTCCCGTTCCGTTTCTGCGACCCAGTCCGGAATGGCGCAGATAAATGCCCTTGCTAAGGGTGCCGACTCCTGTGCGACACTCCTCAATTATTTTCAAGTTGGTGGCGCTCGCACTGGTCGCTGCAGCCTCCCTAGCATCTGCGGCACGCGCAGCTGGAAGCCTGCCTGTCTAACCAAGCCGCAATCGCTCAGTCATTCACTCACTCCTTCATCGTTCAAACATTAACTCATTCATTAATTCATTCATTCATGCATTTTCACTGTTGGACGAGCGCTGCCGATCTCGTGCGGCCAAGCTCGCCCCGCGCCGACCGGCGGCGTAGCCAGCGTGGCCGGCGTGGCTTGGCGGGAACGGTCCGAGCGCCATTTGACTCCTCGGCGCGGCGAGGCTGGCGGAGGCGGCTGGAGGCGGAGACGCACTGAGACGCACGCCACGCACTCGAAAGGAAAAGGAGATGCGCGATGGATGCGCTCTGGTTCGGCCCGGTTCAGCACAGCATGTTACTCTCACCGGGCCACCGCCCCGGCCACCGCCCCGGCCACCGTGGTCACTAGGCACGGGGCGCGTGCATAAATTATGCAACTTTGTGATTCACCGCGAAAACGGTGGCACTTGCAGTGGACCCAGGGGCCGCTGGGGCTGCGAAATAACGAACTGACTAGAGTCAGCTGTAGGAGGAGAGAATTTTCTGGTTCAAGGTTAGTCCTATAAGGCCCCTGATCCGGTGACAACGTCACAGGCGGCTACTTCCGGCCCGGCTGTGAAGCATGTAACCGGACTGGGCTATCTCGAATGCGGGCTGGCCCTGCTGCTGTCACGTCCTCGCGGGGCAACGTCCCTTTCCCTCATTCGAAAGGCGCAGTGTCTCCAGATGCAATGTGTGAAATAACAAAGGAGAAATGGAAACCGCTTCGGCGCAGGCTTTGCACGGCCTGGCGGCGGGAACTGGACGCGACACGCGACGTGTTTACACTCCGTCTCTCTCGCGGCACGCGTCGCTGCTGTCTGTGATTCAGCTCGCCTCTGTTCGTCCTCCTGCGCGGACTGCTTCAGTGCCTCTGTCTCTCTCGAACCCTCGCGGTCCTAACGGGACGCGCCGTGAGTGTAAGACGGGCGCTCCGTTGGGACGCAGCCCGCCGGGAGTGCGGCACGGTGCGTCGGCAGATTGCCGGCCGATACTCGCAGCCACTTTCATTCACGGCACGGCCGCCGCACTGCAGCCGAATTACGCTCGCATTATCGCGGTGCAGTAACAACATCAATCGCGGAAAGTAATTAGCTGCGAGACGGGGTTGGGTTAGGATAGGTCAGGTTAGGTCCCACGCTGCGAGAACAACCAATCCCCTGCCGTTGATTAACCCGTTTGCTGCCGTCTAATTGAAAGTTGGAACAATATTCGACACGCATGTCTGCGCCTAACCTTTATCTTGAAAAGAAACCACCTTGCTGATGTCAACGGGAAACGACTGGCGCGCTTGTGAAGCGCAGCGACACCGAAATTTATTCATGCCGGAGGCTGGGTCAGCCGGATGGCGGCAGTTCAGCCGGACCACGCCGACGACCGTCTAGCCGAGCCGTGCCGAGCCGAGCCCTCAATTTTTGCCTCTTGCCACTTCGGCCCCATTAGGTGGGCCCGGCTGACCCGTTAGCCCGATCTGCTTCCCAAACTCCGCGTGCGTGGTCAGGACCAGCAGCTTGTCTAGGACTCGGCGTCTAGCCTCTGGTCTAGGCCACGGTGGCCAGTCAAGGACAAGCGCCCTTGGTCCTGGGAGTTCCTGGAAAGCCGTGTGCCACTTATTGGCACGTATCCCTTTCAAGGCGTTTTTGAGGTTAGGCTAGGTTGGCAACCCGCACCCTCTCTTCGGTGATTGTAGACGCGCTGCCAAAGAGGTTTTGCGGTAAAAGTACGCCGTGGAGTGCGTCCCGAGATGCGTCCGCGAACCTGGAAAGTGAACCGCCATATCAGTTTACTGCAAGTGACGAGCTGTGCTCGCGGGTGGGAGGCTGCTTTTTCGCAGGGAAGGTGTTCATACCCGTCATGGGGACACCTTTAAATGTTTTTGTTGTTGTTTTTGTTGGACGCGGTAGGGAGTGAAGGTGCATTCCTTAGCGAGGCTATAGGGCGGAAACCGGCCTTGGCCTTTTCCTGCTGCCCTGGTCTCCTCCTGGTCTCCCCTGGTCACCGCCTTGCCGACCTGCCAAGGCGGCCCCGATGGGAACGCCTCAGAACACGCCCAGCGAGCCGCGGTTCCGGTCACTCTCATCACGTGCTGCCGATCCCTCGCGTTCCCTTCCATTTTAAATCAAAAACACCAAAGTCCGATTTTAAAAATTATTTTTTTACTGTGTCTGTCAATCAGCGCCGGCCCTACTGGGCCCCAGTCCTTTTTGTGTGGTTTCTTCTCCTGCTCTCTCCGAGCCTCCGTGTGACTAGATGGCGGGTTTCGACGCATCCGATCGTCGCTAATCGGATCGGCAGTCCGTCCCCCGGTCCCCGATCGGCTGTGATCGGGACGGACAGACGGCCCACTGCCGGGCACTGCCTAGCGAGGGGGGCGGGGCCCCTGCCTCATACAGCAGGCCGCTCTATATGTGTCACGAATCGGACTTATGCAGTCGTCATGCTTGGCGACCGGCCAAATTTATAGGCGCGTGTATTTGCGTGCTAAAGCTAGCTAAAGCGTACCGGAACCAGTTCCTGCCCAGTCGGCCCGCGTTCGTCCGGGTCCTCTGTACAGTACTGTGGACCAGATTCGCCAGGCAAGACACTCGGTGGTGCGTGGCCTAACCCCACCTAACCGAGAATGACCCCTCCAGGCGCGCAGGGGTGCCCTGCTGTTTCACGCTGTCGGGCCGGCAGGTTGGCAGCCCTTTCAGCACCGACGCACTCACTTTCATCGTCCGAACCCTTTCATTTTGCCGATGCTTGTCGAGCCGAGTGGATAATGACTCGGGACTCTTGGCTTCCGATGACAGCGCTGACAAGGCGCACGCAGCGGCCACTGCAGCTGGCCTAACCGTGTCACGCCAGCGGCCCGACGGCGGGACCCTCGAATTAAGTGGCGAGAACCGATTATGGCGGCGAACGCGGTGTCAACGCCTTCCCAGTGCGCGTCCGTTTTGGAACGCACGCATTCGCGCGTAACTAAGCATGACAATGTGCATCGTCATGCAGCACCTTGTTGCGCACGAATCCGTGCATTTATGCTCACTCTCGTTCTGCAACGAAAAAGCTACAAAATAATTTACAAAAGGCTTTCTATAAAAAAAAAAGTATGCAATTTTTTTTTTTCAGAGTGAAAAGAAAAGGAGGCAGACTGTTGTTTTGTCTGGGCGCTGTTGGCGAACCTGCTGATCTCCATAATGAGTCACCGGGACGAGTGTCACTCCGAGTGGTTCCTCTCTGACCCGGCCAAGCTCCAGGCCAAGCCAGGGGAAGCCCGTAAATCACTCTCTCTACTTTTTTCGTCGATGCAATGCACGTTCTGTCGCGTGGCGTTCGGGCAGAGGTCACCATGCCGGCGCGCGGCCGCGCCCCAAAGCCGTGAACGACGCGTCGCCTCAGACAAATGACACCTACGGCACCCGGCACTGTCAAATCGCGACTCTAGCAGCGCGCCTGACTGGAAAACAATAAAGAAAACGGCTTTTACTTCCCTTCCCGCCGATTCCCTTGGCGATCCTGTTCGAGTCCGGTCTCTTCCCGGACTACCGGACGGCGCCGATACCGCTCCACATGCATGCCGCGCCGCGGGGGGAGGGGAGAGGGAGGGGGGAGAGACTTTCACTGCGCGGGACCGCCGCTGACCTCCTGGTGCCCCTGCAAACTGCTCCCTCGAAATCTGGCCCCGTGTTTTTGGGCCGAGGCGTGGAGTGTTTAATGGTCCGGCCGATGCCGTTGTCGACTTGGCCATGCGACCGCTTTATTGGGACCCCCTCTCTCTCTGGCCTACGTGGGCCCTCGGCAGGGAAAGGAGGTGCACAATGTTGGCACAAACCATTCGCATTGTGGATCGGCAGGCCCGACGCAATTGTCACGAGCCGACAATACACGCAGAATCGAAAGCAAACACTTGCGGTTTATGCCTGTCTGTCTGTCTGTCTGTCTGGCACTTGGTTTAAAACTTGCCTTTTTCGTGTGTTCCGCACAGGCCGAGGACACAAGCTGAAGAAGAAGATCCACAAGCTGATCAAGCTGATCAAGCTGATCGTGCTGATAGTCGTGGTGAAGCTCAAGATGGTGTTCCTCATGTTCATGCTGCAGACGCTCTTCCAGGCCAAGCTCGTGGCCATCACCTTCATGATCCTGCTCATCAAGAAGTACTACCTGTGGGTCGAGTGGAAGCACAAGAAGGAGGAGAAGAAGGTGAGTGCACTGTGAGCTCGGCGCGAAGGACTCCATAGTTTCTTCTCGCCGAGAGCGGGGCCGGGGATGAGCAATTAACAGTGGTACGCGAGCCGGCGATCGAGGAGGGATTTAAAGCCGGCTTAGGAGAGAAAATAGCGCCTGGCGTGGACTGGCACCGACTACATCCAAGTCGCGAGGTAATCTACCGGCGGCGCGTGCATCGCTCTGCTGCATCATCTGAATACGTTGATCGCTTTAGTCGCTTCGCAGAAAGCAACAGTGGCAACACGCTACTGCACCACTTTCGCGTGCCTCTCCGATCAAAGAGCGAGACGCTGCCAATTAGCAGTGTGGTGGGAGGGAGAGGGCGGCCTAGCCCGTAATGGTAATGGTAATGCGAGGTAGGCCGCGGGGCGACGCCCGTGTACGGCGGGTTGGCCTAGGCCGCGCTCCGCAGGCGCTACGACAGATGCTAACGTGTTCTCGTTCCCGCAGGCCGTGGTGTACTACGAGCACGCCCAGCACCAGCACCACTACGACGAGACGGACCACTACCACGACGGCCTAGGCGGCCTGCTCGGCCACGGCGACCACCACGGCTACCACAAGGGCGTGGAGCCCACGGCGGAGTCCTCGCACGGCGGCTGGGGCGGCTGGTGGGGCAAGCGCAGTGCCGACGCCAGCCCCACGGCGGCCAACCCCGTCCTGGCCAACCCCGGCCTCGGCAACCCCGCCCTGGCGGCGCAGCAGATGGCGTACAACGCGCACCTGCCGGGCCTCAGCGGCTGAGCACGCCGTCGACGCCCTGGAGGCCGGCCGGCCGCCGGCAGGCCCAGCTTTGATCAGGACTCGGCGAGGCGAACCCTGCCGGGGCGGAGGGTCTGGCCCACCGGCCTCACCCTCCGCCTCCCGCCGACCGCCGCCTCACCAGTCGTGATCTGACCCCGACCCTGTCCGGCCGGCCGGCTCTCTACCTTCTAGTTCCCCAAGGGTCTGCCGAGTGTAGCGTACTTACCATAATGCGGTGCTTTGGCGCGCAGTTTGTCATACCTAGAAAACGAGATGGCCCGTCGATACCAGGCGGGAACGAGGTCGAGGATTCGGTTGGCTAGCAGCCGGATGCGCTCCCAAATCCACGACGTCCGCGCGCGTCCGCGACCACAGGACAGGGAGCCTCATTTATGGTCGTTTGTGTCCACTCGGTTGTCTAGGGCTCTGGCGACCCGGCCGAGCAGGTGGCTTATTGGCTAGTCCGGCCGGCCGATTCGTCACCCGGTCACCGGCACACGAGTGGAAACGTTCTTTAGAAACCGTCATCAGCGGGACAGGTTTTTAAATTTTTCCCCGCGGGTGGGACCTCTAGTCTGACCCGCGTGACTCGGCATGAGCATAGCCAACCGCCTCTTCCTCCACAATTCCTCAGGAAATTTCCCTCCGATGACAGCAGAGTCGCGAGCTTTCTCGGGGCATTCTCGCATTCCTCGAGGAGGACAATAATCAAAATCCGCCGCGAACGGCCACGCGGCCACGCGCGAACGGTAGTTATAGAGTAGCACTAGTAATTTGCTCAACAAATAGGTCAGGTATAATCACGCTCCGCATATGTGATACCTGCGATCGTCAGGAAAAAAAAAGAATGTGGAGATGGTTAATTAGTGTTCTCATTTGCGAGTGTCGTTGAAAAAGGAGCCGCTCTGAACAAGAGGGGAAAGCAGACACTACAAATGCACCCCGACACGCAAGCGCTCACGCGGGATTTCAAACAGGCAAATCGCGAACAGTCTCGTTCAGGATTACCGCATTCCCTTCGACTTTTGCTTTCGAGAGCTGGTCTGACTGAAGCGTTCCTATCACGAGTGTAAAACTGCAAGAAATGTTACTCATGATTTACTTTTTAACACTGTGACGCTTAGGTCACTGTTATGAATTTTATTTATTTATTTATTGACGTATAATTTATTTATTGTTATTTATTGAATCCGCTACTTCCTCTGCTGTTTTGATTTATTTTTTGCCTTTTTCACTGTTTCTACTGCTTGTTGATCGTAAGGATAAATAAACGATATGAAAATGGATTGTCTGTTTCTTGACCCAGTTGATCAACTCCCACTGACCCAAAACCGAGTGAAAACAGTGAACTGAGGTGCTCAAGAGTCTGTCAACAACATGAAATCAACGTCAGGTACTGTAAAATATTATCTGAACCGGGAAAAGGACATGCTTGCGCACGTGAACAAGTGATGGATAGAGATTAACATTACATATCCGAGCCCACCGTCATTAATACCAATCAGCCAAAAGTGTACATCTTCTGAATCCAGCCAGAGTCCGGGTTGTGGACGACGTCTAAACGCATCCGGGGTATCGACTGCAGGATGGAGGAATGCGGTCCAGCGACGCGGGGTATTGACTGCAGGACGAGGGAATGCAGTCCAGCGACGCGGGGTATTGACTGCAGGACGAGGGAATGCAGTCCAGCGACGCGGGGTATCCTCTGCAGGAGGGAATGCGGCCCAGAGGCGAGGGGTAGTGCCCCGGACGTACTCCACGCTACAGCTGACGACGGCTGCGTCGGCTGCCGTCAAATGGGGCCGCGCAAGCGAGCGCCCACAGGCAGGCAACCCAACGTGCAGATGGGAACTCATTTTGCCTGCGTCGCAGGCTCCATCTGGATGGTCCTCGGCTGCGTAGAACCGGGAGGGGAGGTTTCGCTCGGCTAGACCGGTGGGCAAAATCAATGGAAGTGCTAGGTTCACAGGTCCTACTCAGAGGCGTTCGAAAATTGGCGGTGCATTTCGCGACGTCTTCTAGTGGGATACGGCCTGCACCAAGCGAAGGCTCGAAGGCGCTTCTATTTCCGTCTGCGGATGCTTGACCGTTGGCCGCCGGATCGGCTCGTGCTGTGGCGACAAAAGGACTCAAAAAAGAAAAAAAAAAAAAAAAAACGACTCACAGAGGGAATTGTCCGCCACATGTTCCTCCAAACCACCACAGTGCTGATCGCCACTACTTTGGCCCGGTCGGATCGCGAGTCGAGGCGTCGCAAGAAGGGCGGCGGTAGAAATTGGGCCAATTATTTAATCGTTGCCTTTGACAACAACAATTACGGCCGGATTCAATTACCGTCGACAAGTTGGCCGGCCCGCGCCATCTGGAAGGCGGAGGACGGCGAGGGAGCCGCACGGCGGGGCCACCAAATACCGCGTATTTTAAAACGAAAAAAAAAATACAAAAAAATATATTTACAAAGTAGGATAATTGGCTGCTGCATGAGTCTCGCGGCTAACCTAACCTCACCCCTGCTGAGCCGAGCAGGCTCAAGTCTTACGGACGGCCCCGCGGTGCGCGCGGGCCTCCTGAGGCGTGACACTGGGGAAGCCACTGAGCCGCCAATTTATAATTGGCGTTCAAAGGCCGGCCGGCCGGCGTGCCGGAGGAGTCGGTGAGTCGGGGAGCAGCCCGACGGTGCATGGCCTGGCCTGGCATGGCATGGCATGGCCCGGCCGACGGACGCGAGAACGGACTCGCCTCGACTCGGCCGATTCTGAAATTATTGCAGCCTCAGTGCGCATGCGCAGCCACGCCACGCCTCGCCACGCCGCGTAAGTAACTGCCCCTTCATTCCGGGGTAACGCCCTGGCTGCCAGCCGGCCGGCCGGACTAACCCGACAATCTAGCCCAACCTAACCTCACATAACCAAACTTTTTCCGGCAAGCGGCCAAAAAACGGCGACTGAACGCCTTTGTTAAAACGATTTTTGCCATGACTGTATTTCAGAGAAAAGCTGCCTTGAAGTGGAAGCTGGCGGGGAGCCGACGGGAAGCTTGCCCGCCCGCCTGGAGAATCCGCTCGCTTATCTCTGGAGCTGGCCGCGCTGCCCGCGGCGACTCCAGGACGCTATTACAGGACGCTATTCCTGGAGTCCTGGACTCGGGCAATTGCAGGGCGCTGGGGCACGTCGGCATGCCGTATCGCAGGACTCGGCAGGACTAATGAAGATATTAACATCGATACACTCCGTTCCAAGAGCAGCGGGTTGGGAGTGTATGCACGCCACCCACTGGACGTGCACTGGATGGAGGGTCCGCCACGTCGCTACCCACACGCATCCCACTCACACACTCACACACACACGGCCGCGGCGGCTCATGGTGGGACGCGGGGGCACGGGGGCCCACCGCACTCTTACATAGGGAAGGACGGCGCCAGGCCGCCACGCCCGATGTTCGCGCTGGGCCCCAGCGCTCCGCGATGCTCGTCCAGGTCGTCCCAGCCGTCGTCAACAACGCCAACGTCGCACGGACGGCTAAGCTCGTCTCTGCCGCCAATGGCTAGGATGACTCAGAACTTGCGACCTAGACTCAAAAACCGCGGCCTGGTTTCAAAACCCGCACGCTTGTTTCAAAACATTAAAAAAACATATTTAAATGTATTTTATACATCTTTTGCTACATGCTTGCCTTGGCCTTGGACAGGATTTTTTTCGACCCGTTAGGGTCGAGTCCGTCGAGTCAGGAATAAAATGACAACACTCTACAGTGTCCCTGCCGCCGACCGGGGGACCTGAACGCAACGCAAGGGTTCAAGACCTCATCACCATGAAGCAGGCCTACCTTTGAAAAAGGAGCCGGAGCCTGTCATGTTCATGACCCCACGCCTTTCCCATCGGCCAGTCGTCATGGCAACGCCAGGCAACGCACTTTGATTGTCAAGTTGGCTATGGCTTTGGCTTTCCCCGTCTGTCCCGTGGCACCCCGCTCCTCCTCCTCCTTTCTCTGTCTGTCTCTGTCTGTCTCCGGCGTGGGCCGCGGTGTCCACGCCTTACCTTATACGGGCGTGCCCGCGCCGCGCGCCGCACGGGGCGGACGGCGGGGAAGGGGGAGACGGCGGCCTTACCTCTGTTATGTTGGTACGGCCGGCCGGCGCGCGGCATGGGCGTAGCAGGGCGTAGCAGGCATGGGCGTAGCCAGCCATCGCGGAGATGCTCTAAGCCGCGCTCGACGCCTGCACTGCAAGGGGGAAACGGATTTGACGACATGCGTTCGGCTGTCTTGTCTGCCCCCACCCCGGTGCGATGAGTCCTGGTACCGTGCTCACGATTGGGTTGGCGTCGTCGGAAGCCTTGACCTCGCACCGATCAGCGCCTTGTCTGTGCTGTGGGGCTGGCGGGCTGTGGGGAAGGCGGTGGCTGAACGAGCAGATCGCGTGGCCGCGGAGGAAGCCGCTTTTCACCGCCCCGTTAGTGTCCTTCCCTTTCCGTGCCCTGGAGGCCTGGAGGGCCTGGGGGGCCTGGAGGCTGAGGCTAGCCTTTCCAAGAGAGACGGCCAAAGTGTCGTTGTGCAGCTCGACGTGCGGCAGTGCGCGGCAGCAGGTCCCTGGCAGGTCCCTGGCAGGAGACACTCCCCCGTCAACACACCGGTACAGCAGTCCCGCCCACCGCGAGCGGAGCGCGGAGCGTGCTGCAGACTCGGCCGTTTTCGTCGCTCTGTCTCCCTCGCACTATTCCGGTGCTCCCTGCGAGTGCGAGAGAGAGACAGCGACGAAAACGACTCTCGGAATCAGTCTGCTGCCAGCCTCGGCTGTCCCGCCCACGACGGCGGCGCCGTGCCGCGACGTCCCAGTCGCAGCCCCCCCCCCCCCCCACAACCTGGCCGTACCAGCCCAGCCCAACCCCCTGGCCACCCGCCCCGCCCGTCGGCCGCGCATGGCACCGCTCATTTGATTATATACACGACGATTTAGGGAGCCCGGCAGCCAGACAGCCCGAAGGCCCGAAGCAGACAGCTGC